GCAAACAACATCTACAACAACAACAACTACAACAAAGACTAAAAAAAAACGAGTGCATTTTATAATTGTGAGTACTCGATTCGACATTTTCAGCGGAATTGGGGTCGCCGTTGCACCCGAATACCCCGTTTCCCAGATGGATGCGCGGGGGGCTTAAATTGTGCGAAAGAGATGCACGCAGTTAGCTAAGCTTTGAGAGACAACATTTTATGTAAGTCATCAAACTCAATCAAATCAAATCAAATGTGCAAAATTCTATTATTTTTTTTTTTACCATTTTTCGGAATTTCTATATTTTTTTTTAACATTTCTTCCGGTTGCAATTAAAGCGCATAATTAAGCTGCAGAGCATAATTGCGGCACGTTTTGAAAGGCCTACAACCCGTCCCACCTCCCGCTCTCACCGCCCACCTCCCACTCTCGCCATCCCAATCGCGTTCGCTCGCAAGTTCAAATGAAATTGGGCACACTTTCGAGCAAGATTCAACTGCAACGACTTGTCAATGCGCTGCGATGATTCAACTTATTGTTAAGCGGTTAACCGGTTCGCCCACGAACCGGTTCAAGCCGGACACTCATATTCAGCTCAAAACACAGCTGAGCCCAAACTTGCATTATCTTCCATAAGTTTTGAACCAGACCGGGTGCAATTTTCATATACCATATATAAAACCGTCAAGTGGATTAGTTGAATTAGATTAGCAACCCGAACCTAAGCTAGAATTAAATACTTAAAAGAGTTCGAATCACAATGTATGTATTTCTAAGAAACTCTCTTAACTCAATAAATGAAATTATAATCATATTGATCTTCAATCAGTCAATCAACCAGTCAGCCAAATGTTGCAAAAACCATCTAAAATTGTAGCTCGCCTACGAATTTTTGTTTGTAAATTTTCAAGAACTATTTTTTAATCAAATTAAATCTCTTTTCAATATCTTAGTTCACACATATATTAAACGAATGTAATTAACCTATTTTATACAAATGTATAAAATTTTATTTTTTTTTTGCATTCACAAAGATCGTGCCTAGAGCTGGCGTTTGTTTCTTTAGATACAGGTTTAACGGTTGGGTAACTCCAGCGCCTCGAACAACCTGTTTTGCATCTGAACAACAAAAAATATCAGAGTGCATGCGCTCAAAAATGCAAACTATCCCATGATCATATATATAAATATATAAATATAATATAATTATATAAATAAAAGTTCCATTTACATTGATTGGCATTTTTAAGGAGAATTTTATAAAGATTATGATTGTAAAAACTATTTCTCCAAGTTTCATAATTTTATGGAAAATCCTTTAACGAGATAGGAAATATTTAAGCGGACCGCACAGAGAGGAAGAGAACGAGAGAGAGAATGATACAGTTAAAAAGACAGAGCTGCATTCGTGAAGCCAGACAAAAGCTGCTTGCCATACAACCAGCATAAGATACGGCACGCCATAAAACTCAAATGCCCCAAGCGAATCGAGGTAGCGCAGCCTTCTGCGGCCCAAACCTACGCTAAATACTGCGACAGCGACTAAAGCAGCTCATTAATAGAAAAGGAAAACAAGTAAATGCGCTCCAATTACACGTGATCGACTAGGGTATACCCTACAAAAAAAAACATATAAGCACACACAGGCATGATAAATTGTATAACTTGGATGTTTATGTTTAATTTAGTGGAAATGGGGAGAAGTATCTTCCACTTTAGGCCAACTTTGGTGCCTCTAACCCAGACAGACGGACGGACCACGGACTGACGGAGAGACAGATAGAAGATGTCAAATTCGACTCGACAGATTAGGTTGTGTACCTAATATATGTATACAAATCTTCTTACTCCCTAAGTCTTACATAATTGATCTAGTTCGGAGCTTATAGTCCGATCGTTATGAAATTTACAAAGCTTAATTATGCCAATCAAAACATGTGCTCATACCAAAGCGTACATACGTTCTATATGAGAGCCTATATAACAAATTTAGGATTTGTAGCTCTGATATTTCTCGAGTTATGCTCAAAGAATAATGAACAACAATCGATATTTATCGATCTTATGAAAATGAGAGAAAGTATGTATCTAAGAAATGAAACATATTTCGCTGTAGCTTTCAGATAAACGGACATGAATCGAATAGAAGAGCGACTCCTGGGAACAGAGATGTCTTCTTCTGCCCGTTACGTACAGGTTCACAAAACCCAGATGCCCGTTGCCAATGGCTTTACAGGGTATTCAAACAAGCGCAAAGATGAAGCGGATGCCCGTTTCGCAGCGGCAGCTGTGTCTCTGTCGCTGGCCTCCGGTCCCAGGTCTCAGGTCTCAGTCGTGCGCTGAATCTCTGACCAGTTGGTTGTGTTTATGCCTCGTATTAACTCGAAGAAGTAGCGCAAAGTGATAATAAAATACAACAACAATCGTGAAAGCAAAAAAAAAAAAAAAAACAGCAACAAAATGCGTTGCCTGGCATTGAGCGCGTTGTTTGTTTGCGTTGTCATCGCCGGCCAGTGCCGAATTACAGGTAGGTAGATTTAAGAGAAGGTAAAATATATATTTATTGTATGACTTACCTGTTGATTCACACCTGCCAGCTGGCTACAGGAGCGAAATTGAGATAACGCCAGCGCCAGATGTGGAGACAACGACCAAGAAATCCGGCTGGTTCGGTGGCTTCAAGAAGTTCTTCGGCAGCAGCAGCAGCAGCGATGCCGCCAGCTCCACCTCAACAACAACAACAACAACATCGACGACAACAACTACAGCAAAGCCGCCCCAGAAGCTGCCCCCGCTTGTCATTTCGCATGCGCCGCTTATGCCGCTGGGACCACGTCCGGATACGCCCAGCTCATCGCCCTTTGGCTCGACGCTAGCTCACGGCCCGCAATGGCCGGCGGCTGCACAGCCGACGGCAAGTCAGCAGCCGGTGCTGCCAACTGCGGCGACAACGGGCCGCCTGGGCGCCGGCGGCGTCGCTGGCGGATCGACAGCGCCCAATTTGCCGCCCGGCTTTGCGCCTTATCGGCCACAGAAGCCGCAGCCGAGCGGCTTTGATTTGAGCTATTCGGGTGGCGGCGCAGCGGGCGCTGCGGGCGGTGGCGCTGCGCCACATCCCGGCTTTGGCCTGGCGCCGCTGACAAGCAGCACGACGACGAGCACCTCGACCACGACTACGACCACGAGCACACAACGACCGCGCACGAATGTGCAGCCGGGCGGCATTGATGTGCGCTTTGGCAGCTCCACGACCAGCACGGTAAGGCCAGCACAGCAAAAGGATGAGTTTCCCACGTTACCGGTGCCGCGACGACCCTCGTTGAAGGAGGATTATCCGGCATTGCCCACGCCGAAAACACCTGGCTCGCCAACGCCAAGCACGCCAACATCGCCATCCGCGTGGCAGGCGCCTTTGCCGACGCCTGTGCATCCAGCTGTGCCGGCTGTTAAGCCAGCTCCGGCAGCTGTTACGCCCGGCACGCCAGCTGGCAGCACGGGTGGCGGCGGAGGTGGTGTCTCCTTTGTGCCGCACACGGCTGGCTCCACGACAACCGTGCGTCCGGGCTTTCAATCGACGGGAAATTCGGTGGCCACCGATGATGAGATACGTCAGCTAACCGAACAGCTGTACACCAAAGAGTCCAACAGCCAGCTGAGCCACATAACCGTGAATCTGCAGGGACGCACGCGCTCCATTGACAGCGGCGATGAGGCGCCACAGCCGTAAGTAAAAGAAAATATATCGATTTCCTGATGCAGTGCAGCCAAATGCAATTGGTTTCCATTGGCAGGCTGCTGAGCGTGGACGCCAAAGCCTTGGAGCCGTCGACCATTGCCAAGATGCGGCTGTTGTTCAACAATTACGAGCAGGACACGCTGGTCAATGAGCATGTGACCGCCAACGAGCGCAAGGAGGAGAATGAGTTCCTTGATGCCGTAATGGCCACGAGCGTTATGCGGCAGGCCATGCTGTTCCTGCAGCAGAAGGGCCTGGTCACGCCCGATCCGAAGACGCATCGCGATCTTGTCAAGGAGCTGTGGTTCACCCAGTATTCGCGCGGACAGGGCAAAATCGGTAGCTCCGGCTTCGAGCATGTCTTTGTGCACGAGGTGAAGAACGGCACCATCATTGGCTTCCACAACTGGGTCTATGTCAACGAGGAGGAGCAGGCAGGCCGCTTCGATTACAAGGGCTACATGAAGGAACAGGACATTGGCACGGTAAGCCTACCTAATAGTCAATTGCCAAGCAAACACTTTACCTTAATTATATCACGCCTTGCAGAAGGGCAAAGTGCTGAAGGTGCGGTTCGCACATCAGGGCCTGAACAAGCCGGTGGACACCATGTTCATTGGCACCTCGCCGGAGCTGGAGCTGGCTCTGTACACTGTCTGTTTTCAGCTGCGTCCGGATCGCACCTGTCCTGTCTCTCTGGGCAACAGCAAGTTCGGCATTGTCACCTATTCGTGGCGCTACAGAGGCAAGAGCCTCATTGGCAGCGCCTATCCTGAGATTTGAGCCGCATGCCACAGCTCACCACAACGTTTTTTTTTTGCCTTTATCTCCTTCTCGCTCTCTCTCTTTTAATCTATTCAGTAAACCATATTTTTTTTTCTTCTTTGTATAATAAATAAATACTATAAACCTATGTACGCTTTGTTGCAACAAAAAAGAGCGCACTTTAAATGATTGAATTCCGATAAAAGTTGCCTGTTGCTTGCACAAAAAATATCGACTACAATTTTCGATACCATTCGAGTGAGTAGCAAATGCAGCAACTATCGCATCAATAGTATCCGATAGCTGGCTGGTCAATAATAAACAGTGCACTATAACTGTAACATATTGGCTAGTTGGCAAGTTTTCAATTTGAAAAATGTATTAATAAGATCAGTTGAAAAATCGTGATCGTAGAAAACAAACATTTGATAACAAGCTGAGTAGTTGATAACAGTACTTGCAAGTACTTGCAGCGATTAATCGTTGAATATGCCATCGCTGGGCACATCACTAATCGCCAGTCTTTCTAGAGTTTTCAGCTGACAAGTACGTACGTCTCGAACAAAGAATAAGCAGTCAAACGATTTTTATTAATTTGAAAAACAAGTCAACAAAATATAGTCGCAGTTTTAATCAAATTGAAGACCCGACAATGGATTTCGGTGCACTGCTGCACTATGCCAAAAAGAACAACGATGCAGCCACTAAAGAAGAGGTTGGTTTTGTGTGTGTGGGTTTACTTTCGCTTAAAACTCCTAAATACGGGTAAGATGCACTTTTATTGATAATAAAACCAAATGGTAAACAAAAGTGCTCTGCACATATGGTAAGCAGCATGCCACAACTCAGACCGTGCCACAACTCTTCATATCGTTTACGGCCAGAATGTGCCACCAATTGGGTCATTCAATGACCCCAAAATGTGGCGTGTGTGTGTGTGTGTGCTGTCTCAGTGGAAGGGCGGCAGAAGGGGCGGATGGGTTTATTTTGGTGGAGCAATTGTCCAATCTCAACAAGTGGCTCACATTTCTCTTATCCCTCTCAAGCAGGGAAAATACTATAGCACGAAATATGCGCCGCCGAAAAAGGAGAGCAAGGAGAGCAAACAGCTGTCCAGCAATATACAGAAATTCCTGAAGAAGCGCGAAGCGGAGGAGGCGGAACGCAAGCGACAGGAGCGCGAGAAGCTAAACAGCCTGCTGGCCATGCGTGACGAGAAGTCCAAGAATAAGATACGCAAAATGTTGAAGGTCACAAAATCGGCTAACAAATCGGTGCTGGAGGATGCCAAGGACTGTGATAATATGGCGCTGGGCGCCGGCGAACAGCCGGAGGGCGATGACTATGGCTATGTGTCGACCGAGGCGAATGCCTTCTATCAGAAATACATTGAGAAGGTCAAGGATGTGCAGGAGGATAAGGGCTTTGCGCCCAGTCGGCCGCAATCTGTACGCGATCTATCCGGCACCAAGGAGCGCGTCAAGGCGGCCATAACACGCGAACGGGAAGAGGCGAAAACGCATACACGACAGCGCATCAGCCATGGTTCAACGCCACGCTCCACAGACAAGGAGCCGCAGGTGGCGCGCGCATATGGCACCGCGGACAAGAAGCTCTACGATCCGGATGCCGAGCGTCGGGACGAGGAGCGCAAGAAGCGCGAGGAGGAACAGAAAAAGGCCAAGGTTAAGCGGCCGGCGCAGCCGCCGCCCATGGACTTTCAGGCGCTGCTGCGGCTCGCCGAGAAGAAACAGCACGAGCCCGTCAACATAGCCATGCCCGAGAAGAAAAAGGAGCCGGAGCGTCTGCTGTCGGCGCGAGAGAAGCGCGAACAGGAGGAGCGCCAGCGATGGAAGGAGCAGCGTGCCGAGCGCGAACGCATGCGCGAATCGGAGGCGAAGGCCAAGGAGCAGCGCAAAGAGAACGGCAACAGCCAACAGCGCGTCATGGCGCCAAACGGACGCATACCCAAGCTGAATAAGGCGCCGCCCGCCAAAGCGCCAGCCGGAACAGCAATTCCGTCCAGTGCCAGCGAATCCAAAGCAAAGCCCACAAGTGATAGCCTTAAACGGCCGGCGTCCACAGCGCCCAGCAGCTCCAGCGCCAAACTCAGTGCCAGTACAAAGCCAGCCAGCGGGAGCGGAAGCAATGCCGGCAAGCGTCCGCCCGCGGCCAGCAGCGGGACAAGGCCAGCCTCAGCTGGAGCTGGTGCGGCTGCTTCTGTTGCTGCCGCGGCCAGCTCAAAGCCCAGTGGAAGTGTGCAATCTCGTAATCCGTATGCGTCCGTTAATAAGAATGGCGGCACGCGTGAATTTCCGCCGCGAGACGCTTCCAAGACGCGTGCATTTCCGCCCGCCGATGTTCAGCGCCCGCCCAATCGCAGGCCGTTGCCAGTCGATGCACGTGGACGTGGTGGAGCAACCGCAGCCGGACGCAAACCAGCCGAGCCGGGCAACAAAAGTGAGTGCCGTTTCAAGAATTAGAAGCTGTTAACTAACTATGATTCCCATAATGTTTAATTCAATTGTAATTAATCATAAGCTAAATAGAAATTAATCTTTTCGTAATTAATTAATTAATTCATTAATTACTTAAGTAGTTAATTTTGCCATCTTCGAGCCATAATTAATTTAAAAGCAAGCCCTTGAGCTTTGAAATTTTTTTTAAGTCAAATTATAAAAGGCCCAGCTTAGTTAATTAGCCAGCCTTAAGTCTTAATTAAGCCAAACCTTTGCATTGTAATTACTCAAGTATTACTTAATTTTTTTGGCGTAAATTACTTGAGTAATTAAAAGTAATTAGCTTAGCTTTATTATAGTTAACATATATTAATTGTTATGAACTAAACTAAAATTGGCAATAATTTTGCAGGACGCATTTATGATGATGATTCCGAGTATGATTCCGAGCTGGACGACTTTATTGACGATGGCGACTGCGAGGAGGATATATCATCGCATATACGCGACATCTTTGGCTATGATAAGCGCCGATATCGCGATCTCGACGAGGATGATGCCCAAATGGAATCAAGTTTTGCTCAAGTGCAGCGCGAAGAGTTTATTAGTAAGAAATTAGGTGCGTATACCCAGAAAATTTCCCTGCCCCTCCCCGCCCTCGCAAATCTAATTGTGTGTTTGTCTGTTTGGCAGGTTTACAAGAGGATCTGGAGGATATGCGCATGGAGGCGATGCATAAAAAACGCAAAATGGCCAAAAAGCGACCAACGCGCATCGACGACTAATTCGCCCCGCCGCCCGCCCTCCGCCACAACTTTCCACACACACAACTCACACACACACACACATCTCAATTCTGAGCAGCGCCCCTTGAATGTCCTTACCCTCTCGAGGCACACTTAACCAAATTCAAGTTCAGTCCGATTGCCCTGAACTTATTGGGTTGAGATTGTGTGGCGCTGCTTTTAGTTAATTTTGTTAAATGAAATGCAATCATTTTTGTGTGTGTGTGTGTTTTTTTTTTTTTGTTTCGTTTAGATACCTTAATTTGGTGCCGTAGTTTAGTGCAAGACCAAACCCTTATGCAATATGAACACACACACAAACACACACACGAGCAAAGGAAACACAAAGAAATTTCATATTTTTGCTACCCGTTCAAATTTATTGTACATTTACAAGCCATTGCATATCTCAATTATGTTTATACACATTGTTAAGCCTTGTCGCGTGCTGTATACTCTGTAAAACTGTTTCCACATACATCAGATACATATATATACATATATATATATATATATATATATATATATGTGGTGTGTCATGGAACCCCTTTTATTGGTACTCCCAACTGCTGTCAACAATATACACGAAATTATCAAATTTCCAATGAATAAATTAATTTTTTAAATTCCATTTCAATTCAGAGGCTGCTCGACAGTTGATTTTAAATATATATATTCTTAGTCATGTCCGTCGCTTCCCTTTGAAGCTATCCTCGTGAATCCTAGCCTAAAGCATATAGCTAATCTCTTACGAATCGGTCGCACATGAAGTTCTTTCTGTTTTATAAAATATCCATTATTTTACGACTTCTAGCTTGCCTCGCGCATATTAGCCAAATTTTATTAGCATCGAAATACTATAGCCTATCGATCTTTGGGATCGCATCGAAGATAACTTCAGCAATTATGCGCTTCACAATTCTGCTTCAATGCAAAGTTTTTTTCGAACTTTAACATCGCATCTTCTTCTTTTTTTTTTTTTTTTGAATTTAACTACCTTATTTGTCGCATTTTTTATAATATAATTTCTATAATTATGATATATTAATTTACACGATATTCTGTTTATGTTTATATAATTTTGGACTTTGTTTTAACAAAGACAAATATAAATATATAAATATTATTTATATTGTCTTTGGCACTATTTTATAATTATTTAAAGATAGTTCTCAGGGCTACAATTTTTAAAATGTTCTTTATCTTTTTAATTGATTAAAATGTTTATTTATTTTAGTTAGTTTGTAAATCCTGTGAAATATGCGTTTAATTTTGTTTTAAGAATTCCCACTCTCAACATATTTGGACTTGCCCTCTCTCTCTCTCTCTCTCTCTCTCTCTCTGCTTTACTCCCCCGCTATCTCGCTCGCTCTGTTTCTCTTTCGTGTGATCAAAAATATTCTCTTTTTTTTTTTTATATACGAACCACCTCTTATCTCTTTCTGTGATTGTTTCTGATCTTATCTTTTATATAATCTTAACCTGGCCAAAGTGCCGGCCCCTTTGAACTAGGCGCGTGGACAAGCTGGAGTTGGGAAATTTGGTATGTGGCTAGACAAATACCAGATGTAGTCAAATTTATTGAACGATTTCAGATTAACACAGATTCAGATGATATATTCGCTGGCAAAATATGTGTGTGTGTGTGTGTGTGTGTGCGGGAGTGTGTGTGTTCTTCCGGCTGAGATATCGCATCAATTGTCATTGGAGAGCTCAACGACAACGGCGCTGCCGATGCGTCGATGATCGCAGACGGGCTCCGGTTCGGTGTCCATATAGCCGATGGCTGTTAGGGCCGAGTATGCCTTGTTTTTGGGCAAAAAGTTGACCTTGTGACCGAGGCTGAGCAGATGATTGATCGTATGGTTGGGCACCTCCGGTTCCGAGTCGACCACCATGGGCGCCAGCTGATGATGCAGCCGGCCGCCGTTGACCGCCTCCTGGATGGGTTCGCGTAGCACGAAATAATGTAGAATGGTCTGTGCAACAGATGTGGTGATTCTGGAGCCGCCGGCGCCGCCAACCACAAGCGCCACATTGCCGGCATCGTCGAGAATAATGCTGGGGCAAGTGGAGGACATGGGTCGCTTGCCGGGCTTAATGTAATTGGCCGGACTGGCGGGTATGCCATAGGCATTCGCCAGGCCCGGCGTAGAGAAATCGTCCATCTCGTCGTTCAGTATGAAACCCGTCTGGCGGGAGCGCACCTTGGCGCCCAGATGGCCATTGATTGTGCTGGTCACCGAGATGGCATCGCCATTTGGCGCCAAAACCGAAATGTGCGCCGTGCCATGATCCTCGACATTGCTGAAATTGGCGCCATAATAGGACATATCCTCAAATGTGCGATCGTCCAAGATGAGCTTGCGTATCTCAGCCGCAAAGTCCGGATCGATCAGACTCTCGTATGTCTCCTGCACCGAGGGCTCATAATGTATGTCGCCCAAATTGGTGCGATGCCCGTACGCATGCTTAAAGGTCTCAATCAAACGATGCCAATACTTGTCCCTGCTGCTCGTATACATCGGTTCCATGACGTTTAAAATAAATGTCAGGACGGCGCCGCTGCTGGGCAACGGCGAGGTGTACAGTTCATGTCCGTTGTCGAAGCGTGCGCGCAGCGGTTGCTCCCAACGCACTCTGTAGTCGGCGAAAGCGAGAGAACGAGCATAGCATTAGCTAAAAACTAACAATTCAAATTGCGCGCCACTGTCTGGCAACGCCACGTCAATAACAAGTACACGATATGTTATCGATTAATGATTAGTGCGGAGCGATTAATCGTGCTTATGCTTAACTGTTATTTGCATCGAACACATTTGCAGGCACAAAAAACAACAAAGCGAATTTAAAAAAAGGAATGCTCACTCGTAGTCCTGCAGATCCTGTTCGGTGACAATGCCGCCCATTGCCTGTATATCCTCGGCGAGCATGCGGCCAATGCGACCGCCGCGATAGATGACCTGCGCACCCTCGGTGGCCACAATTTCCAGGGTATCGGCGAGCACGCGACGATACATGATCTCGCCCTCCTTGTAGGGATTATTGGTAGCCGGATTTATGAATATCTCTGCCATCGAGATCTCGTTGCGTATGATATCCTCATTGTTGGCCAACACGCCCGCCAAATAGCGTGACACCAGAATGCCACGCCTACACATCTCAATGGTGGGCTGAAAGAGACGCTCCCAGGGCAGCTTGCCGTACTTATCATGCAGCCGCCAATACCCAAAGATTTCACTGGGCACGGCACAGGATAAAGCGCCGGCCACATTCGTTTGACCAACAAACATGTCTTGGGTGGCCGCCGCCGGCGCCGTTTCGCGGGCAATCAACGTTTCCACATGGCCCGTCTCCTTGGAGTATATGGTGGCCATAAAGCCACCGCCCACGCCCAGGCTGTGCGGCAGCACAACGCCCTCGCACAGCATTGTCGCAATTGCCGCATCCGCAGCAGATCCACCCTCGTCCAATATATTGCCGCCAATCTCGGCACAACCGGCCCCATTGGAGGCCACAGCACCAATGCGACGACGCTCCGGCTCGCCGGCCAGACCAAAGATCAGGCCCAATGTAATGGCCACAATGGCCAGCACCAACAGTATCCAAACGACGGCGAATGTCTTGCAGCAAATGCTGAGAAAGATTCAGATTTGAGATAAGGCCGAGTAGAGATTACCCAATCGCATGATCCACTGCCCAAGCCGAGCCCCATATCATATGGCTTCTCTAGGTATTATCGTTTGAATATTGAGTTCTTGCATCAATAACAACATTGTTTTTTCTTTCCAGATATCTTAAGCAAACCTGGCATTAAACAGGCTCAAAACCTAGAAGATCTTATGAAGCGACGTCTTTCAAAGAAGTGGACATCCGCTCAAGCAATATCCCATGCTCCTATGCTCCTTACATATAAGCAGAATCCTATCAATGGCACTGATTAAATAATTGTTCACTTTTCTCTAGGAAAGTGCATCAAAATCTTGTTGATAATATCTATTTGAACGTCTCACTTCTCACACTTAATTCCTGTTCAAGTCCAAAATTCGTTTCACATTATTTCTCACTTTACTTACGACATTTTGTGTTTGTTTTTTTTTTTTTTTGTGCTTAAATTAGGTAAAAAAAAAATAGAATAAATTATGCGCTTGAAACGCGAACCGTTTACCATATAAGAAGAATTCAATGGAAGCCATGACTTTTATAACGATATCCATGCCCATATCCGGCGATAGCCGAGATATCAAGGGATCGAGATAAGAGCCTGTAGATAGACACGGTCTGTCTCTGGGCTGTGGCCCGTATTTTGGCTACGTCATGGCGCGATTTGTGGTAGAAAGTGGATTTGTGAATTTTGTGCTGTTGGCTGACTAAGAGACTGGGGCCAAGACCAAAGGAGTTTGCCGACAGGTGCGTAAGTAGTAGATATTTGTGTATATTTGAACCTGAACGTCTAATCAAAATCCGTAAGACTTTGATTATATACCAATATATGTGTGCATTATCTGTGCGCTGATAAGGGCCAATTGTGCACAAGTTAAGGTCAAAACTTAAAATAGTAATTGGAATTAAGCGTTAATCACCTCACAGATGTTAATACATACCAACATTCCATTAGTATTACAAATCAGTTCTCGGTTTATCTATATATATATATATATATAAATACATATATGTATCTATATGTATTTAAATCGTCTTTGTGTTGGGCATTTCATTAGCAGCTGGCGGCACAAATTAATTAGTTTATTAGCTATTTTTAGGCAAACGAATCAACTATTCAGGCTTATGATAAATTTTATTTTTCAGCACAGCTGTTAGACTTTGGACACGTACATCAAGTACATGGTTAAGCGCTAGCCAAACATAATCTATCGTCAAAGCCATCTTCATATTTTTGTTGTTATTTAAACTCTTATTTTGTGGTGTCACATTTAAGAACCGTTAAATGATTCAATTTAAACTTTAACGGTTGTGTATCTTTGCGCGCTGCCCAACATTGAACGAAGCTAATTTCGGCTTACCAGCACTTATTGCGTGGGTGGTAGCACGATCCTTACCCGATAACTTGTAATCGATAAGTCTTGAGCATTCTCTTAAAAGCTAAAGATCATATCTCATTTTTTAAATAACGTATTACCAATTAGGCAAAGTTTCAAAAATATCGGTAAGCAACACATCTGCCTAAAGTCCCGCTTAGGAATGCAAAATACATATTATTCAAAGAAAAATGCGTAATGCATAGCGTTTACATTCGTTAAGAAGTGTATACAAATTTCCGTTACTACAGGGCTGCATAGCTACTGGAAAGAAACACAACAGTTCGATAACATTGAGCACATAAGTGTTGACCAATGTTTCATTGTTGATTGGCACTCATTCAGTATTTATTTAGAAACCTGCGCTTTCACAATATATTCAAAAACTGCTCTTTGTTTATGACAGAAATTCATTATTCAATATTTTATGAAAAATTTAATCATGTTTGAGCAACCATTTCTTGTAAATTTCAAATAATATTCTCGATAGATTTGAATTACCAACGGCTAATCGATAGCACGAATATGTAGCCAGTGGTTGAAAACACTTGCGCGTATTTATCGATATATACGACATATCGATGTACTTTTA